TGCGCCACGGCTACCACCCACACAGGAGCGAAGACGCTTTCCAGCAAGCTGGGGAGCCGCTGCCGAGGAGGAGGGGCCCACGGAGCCCATATGGCGCTGTGCTCCAGCACCAACGCCTGGAGAGCTCATGGGGCGGCTCAGCACCCAACGCACCTGGTCACGGGTTGGGCAGGAGCTCCAGCAACCCCCAGCCCAGCTCTGCTTGCTGCAAGACCAGGCTCTTCACCGGGTCTCCACTGACGGAGGAGCCGGGCTGTAGGACAGACGCCAAGCGCAGGGTAACTGGTATCCACGCAGGTAAACTCTCTTCTCCCCCAGGGCACCACAGACACCTCCAAACTAGTGGGAATGGCCCTGACTTCTGCTCATGCCTGAATCCTGCCCTTGAACTGGGTGGCGATCGCTGGCCAAAACCAGCCCAAAGACAAAGCAACAGGGTGGGAATAATGGAGAGATCGATCACATCAAAACTATGCCTCCCTCCTTCAGGTCCCCTTCCCAGAGCTCACTGATGACATGTGCGGCTCCTGGCAGGAGTCCTTGCTGGCTTGCTGCAAGCAGCACACGGAGCAGTGGTGCGGACCTCTCCAGGACTGCACCTGCCGTTGGACCTGGCTGTCGGACGCGCTCCCGCAAGCTCTCCCTCCACCCCGCTGAGCTGAGTTGGGCTGGGGAAGGCACAGCCTGCCTGGTTGTGTCTTTCCCAAAGCTTTGGGATCTGACTTTGTGCTCTCATGTGGGACAAAAACAAATGTTGAAATCCTGGACTTTCGTTATTAATCATTCCTCCATGCTGCTGTATCACTACTGCTCTGTTCACTTGCCTGCTTTAATTGGGTTTCGGATTATTATTATTATCCCCTGTGATCTTGTGCCAGAGGCTGGAGGCAGGCCCTGTGCGCTCTTTCATAACATGCTGCTCTCCAGGTGTGGCTGTGAATGCAGGCGCGCGATCCCTGGCTCTCTGGCTCATGGACGGCAGCAATTTCTCAGGGTGCAGCGCACACTGTTCAGCGCAGCCCTGATGCCTGCCCTAACCCCTGTGCTGGACAGGCAACGCGCTGTGCCGTAGCGGGCAGCAGGGCACACAGCCCAGCTCTGCAGGGCAGCCCTTCTGCAGGGTCACGGACAGCCCAGCCAGCCCGTCCCTTGCCCTGGGTGCTGGCACCCCATGGGCTGTGTGGGATGTGCCAGGCGTGGGATCTCCGTGGCTCTTTGGGAATCAGGCCTGCACAGTAGCTTCTGGGCTGCAGAGGATATAAGGCCGTGCATAGACCCTCCTTGCCACTGGGGAAGTAGAAAATACCTCCCACCTTGGATGGTGCCATTTCCCCCTGCTATGTCCCCTCAGCATCAGTTTGTGTTACCCTAAAGATGATGTCCGGAGAAAAGAGACTCCCTCCTTCACAGCTCCGGGGCAGGGATCTTGCCAGCTTCATCACTGTGGCTCTCTCCAGCCACCCTGTGGCTGCTTGCTCCCAGCCCTGCCTGGCAGAGCTGGATGTTCATCCCAGCTCAAGCCAGGAGCACAGGAAGGCACATCCAGGCAGTGTCGGCTTCACCAGACTCACTCTGTGCAGGATGAGGCCCTGCATGTGAGCAGGGGTTTTTCTCGCCCCTTGCATCCCATCATGTTTTATCTGTCATCCTGTTGTAAACAAAGCGACTGCTTCTCCAAGTTGATGAGTTTCTGAGGTAAGGAACATGCTGAGGTACTATAAAGCACCTGGCAGACAGGGCCAGGAAGATCACATCTCCCTCTGCAGACACTGCATTTGTCTTCTACTGTCCAGAGCCAGGGATGGGAGCAATTTGGAAAGCCAAGTCATTTCTCCAGGCTGCTACAGTTTGGATACAGAATCTCAGCTCTTGTGACAAGGACAGAGAAGTGCTTCTCTCACTCAAGGAGGGATTTTTTTTTTCTCTCTGAAGCAGCAGCTTTGTGGGAGGTTGTACCATGCTGTTTGCAATGCTACGCTGCCCTCAGGTGGGAACACTGCTGTTCCGGGGGCTGGGCTCCAGGACAGGTTTTCTCCTGCCTCATCCACGAGCCCCAGCATTAGCTCACCCTCGCTGGGGCAATGATGACCCCATCACACAGTCTGTCCCCAGGATGCAGAGCAGCGTACACGGGAAAAACCTCCCTCCTCTCCTGGTTTGGCCTGAGCCAGAGGCACAAAGGTCTTGCTCTGCTTCCAGCTGCTTAGAAAGCCTAGGCCATCTCTCACCATCACACCCCCAGCTAACCCATCCCCGGGCCCCAAATGCTGCCGGCCCCTCTGCCATCCGCTTGCACCATGCAGAGGCCTCCGCAGGCTGGCCAGATCCCTGCTGAAAGCTTCGAAAGCCACACGTCTATCTGCATGGTCTGGTGTGCCTGCAGCTCAAGGGAAAGGCTACACAGAGATATCATGGGCACAGAATGTCCGTGCTTGTATCTGTGTCACGCTCTGTGCATGCTCCCTGTGTGTGTACGCACACAGCATGCACATACATGTGCGTGTGCAGCTAGGGAGGAAGATAACACAGCTATCTACACAAGCCCTGCGATAGCTATAGGCCTCCCCAGTGCCCACACACTGGTATGACTGGGAACCAGGGGCCTTCCAGGCCTGGGGCGGCTCGGCCACGTCTGGTTCCAGGCTTTGGAAGAGCCTGTTTCAGCAGCTTCCACTGAGCATGGGCCGCAGGTTAGCGCAAAAGAGCCAGAAAATGAAGTTTCCTGGTCATTTTATGGCCTTGTATTGCAGCAGAAACATTGTCCCCAAAGTCCAGTACTGGTTCCACGGGAGTGGTTGTGTTACCTGCTGGCCCTGCTTGGTCACTCTCCCATCCCCTGCTTCTCCAAGCTGGTTCTCCCAGGGGGATCTGACAGCACACCCTGCACATGATAGGGAGAGGAGCCAGCTCTGGCTCTGGAAAGGGCTGCAGCTGCCATGCAGGGGCCAGGCCGTGTTATTGTGACAGCTGCTGCTGCTGGGTCATCTGCTTAAACTGCAGCTGGGCAATAAAGGTTCGAAATTAGGGAAAGTTTCTGCATGTAGGAGGGTGGAGAGCTGGAAGAGACTGCACCTAGGAGGGTGGGCTCTCTGCTGTGCTGCTTGAGTTCTTGCCGTGGTGTTAGAGCCACTTCCATGTCCACCCCAAAAGCCTTTGATCCATCACTACAGGCCCCTGCACTGCCGCCTCCTGAGACAACCTATGAGGGAAAGGTTCTGAAGGCTTGGGCAGCTGGGCGCTTCCAAAAAGATCCTCTGGTTTTCCCTAAGAGGCATGTTCCATGGAGGGAAGGACACAATTGGGGTGGAGAGCTGTGGGGCAGAGTCAGTGCTGAGGCAGACAAGTGCAGCAATGCACACGCTGAGCTCTGGGAAGTGCTGAGGGCCCCAGGCTCTGCGTGGTGCAGCAGGACAGTGAATACAGAGTCCTGATCAGTGACTGAGAAGTGAGGCTCTTCTGGGGGAGGCGAATAGGAAAGCTGGAGGCCAGCGAAGTGATTAGGCGGTGGCTGGCAGCATGCAGGTAGCAGGCAGCAATACCAACCTGTGGCAGAGGAGCCCAGGGTACGTCCAGGGTAGGCTGTTAGCAAGGGACACGGGGAGAGAGAAGAGGTAGCATGAGTCAAAGAAGGAATGTGGCTGGCTGGGTCTGGCCCAGGCTGAAGATGGAGAAGATTGGCCACGACCTTCTTGTAGGCAGAGAGAGCCAGCGGACAGCCACAATGTCCATCAGGAAGGAAGGAGTTGCAGTTTGTGAGCAACAAGACCTGCAGCTACTGAGATAAAAATTAAAACCCAGTATGCCCTGCACACCGGTGATGTGGCTTGTAGGAGCATTCCAAAGAGACGTGTCTTGCACATTAATACTTGTTTGAAGGCCCCTTCAATCCCAAAGCTCTTGCCCATTTAGCAGAGTTATCGCCTTTCCTAACCACATCCACCAAGCAAAGAGACCTGAACAAGCCATGTCTAGGACAGCAAGAAAACTAGACAAACGTTCTGACAGCCCCCAACAGATGAGGTTACCTGTATCCAACCCTAGAGGACCTACCTGGTGGTGGCAGGTAGATGTTCCCAATTATAGGAATGCTAACTGGCACAACTTCACAGCAAGCTCCTGTCACTGAACTATGAGACTCCCTCAGCCCTGAGCGGGGGACACTGCCAACACGGTGACCCCACAGTGACCAAGCGCACACACAAACCCCCAAGCGCGCGTGAGTGCGATGGCAGAGCGGAGACGCACCTCAGCGCGAGCTGGTCAAGTGCAGCAGCTTTGCGGGCACGGGAGAGACAGCGGTACGCAGAGGAAGGGAGGGAGCGCCTGCCAGGCTTAAACACAGAGTAAGCAGGTGAATTTCCTGGGAGGCCCCTGGACAAGAAGCACTGCTACAATTTAGAGAGCCCGAGGCAGGTTCACAGTGTGAGCCGCAGCTCTCCTGGGGCACGTGACAGTCATACGCGCTGGCGTTTCGAGAGCTGCCACACAGCAGAGAGGCTCGCTGGATTACGCTGGCCAGTGGGCATGGCAGGAAGGGCCTCGGTCAGCTCAGGGCCTAGATAAGAGCTACACGGCTGCAGCGCGGGAGCGGAGACCGGAACAGAGCCTGTGTGAAGGGAGACAAAATGGAGGGCTGCCACGTAATGGAGGGGCAAAGGTGCTTGTGACAGCACCCCTCTATATTGACTTACACCTTCAAAGGTCATACATATTCCATGACACTGCTGCCCTGTGACTGCCCCAGCTGTCCTGCTCCTCTCCGGCCAGCCGAGCAGGCAGCTCTGTGTCGTCCAGCCTCCCCTGCAGATGGGGGTCAGGGCACAAGGAGGGGCTTTGGGGCATCTCCCTCTTTGACGGGGAGACCATTGCTCCTTTAAACCCATTCAGGTGACAAGCAGGACAACAGCTCACCCCACCACTCGAGGGAAGACACTGTGCTCTCAGTGGGCTTGCAAGGTCAAGGGGGCTCCATGAGCCACCCCTCTAATTAACCTGCAGGCTGCTGTAACGACCCTACTAATGAGGAGTTAAGAAGAGCCTGGTTTGTGGCTGCTAAAGACAAACTGCTGAGTTTAGTCTCCATAGTCTGGTTGTATTTGCTAAGTCTGGGCTGTTAAGGAGCAACCTGTACAGGCTTGAGTAGGTGGAGTTGGAAGCAGGAGCAACAGCTCTGACAGGAGCATGGTCAGAGCCTCTCACAGCAGTGACCAGGAGCAGCTAGTTCTGGGATCACATCTGTGATGCCAGGAGGGTGCTGAGCTGAGCTCTCTCAAGCTGGGAGTTGACCTGGGGGACTGTAGGCCTGAGAGGTGCCTTGTGCAGTTCTTTGTGGTGAAGTGGAAGGAACCAGTAAGCACTGCTGTGAGAGGGGGCTGCTAGGAACAGCAGAAACTGCTGTCTGTGGTGAGTCCTTGTCAGGAGATGCAATTAAGAAGGGCTCTGGGTTGTAAAACACAAGGGTTGGTGGTTATTGCTTCAGGGGTTGTGAGGGAAGAAGTCAGCAGGGGCCTGAGGAACACTTGCTAGAGCGCTCCCAAGAAGGAGCAGGCTGGTGGCTGCTTGGGCATAGGATGGTTGAGTGTCGGAACAGCGAACAAAGAAACAGGCTGCAGCTGTGCACCAGGGGTGCGGGCTCTGTCCACTGGAAGAGAACATGGGAGAGAAGAGAAAGGGCTGGGAGCCCCAAATCTGTACTTGAAATTTCAAACTATCTCCTAAACACAGTGCCCCAGTATGAGCTCACAGTAAATGCGAATGCTGGTGCAGCCACCCTCGCCTTGGGGCTGAGGACCTGCCCTTGGTGCTCGGGTGTCACTGCCCAAGAGGCTGTGGGGATGATGCACATCTCAGTATGGGGGTGGCAATGATCCAGCTCGTCCCAGGGCATATGGCAATGCTGGGAACGTGAGGGAGCAGACAGGCCTAGCAGAGTCTCCTCTGTGGAGCAGCTGTGGGGTGAGGCTCTGCCGGGGGAACAACCCTTCCATAGTGGCAGCAGCGTGGTGTGATGCTGTGACGATCCCCCTGTCAGCTACCCTCCCACTCAGCAAGTGGATCGTGGCCAGAAGCAGCACACAGCATGAGACAGGCAAAGGCATCGCAAAGGCAGCAACACAGAGCTGGCTATGGGAGCTTGCTCTGCAGGTCCCACACTTGGTACAAGACCTGCTAATGCCAGCTCCAGAATCCCTACCCGTGGGTGGTTCCAACATCCAGGGTGCTCTGTATAAGGAGGGGACAAGACCTGAACTGTTGATAAGGACACTGCAGCCCTGTCCTTAGTCCACCTGTCCCCCGTACTCCCTGCTGGGTGTAAGTTGAAGATAGGACCTTGTGTGCAGATGAACCAGTTGGGCTTGGAGTTGTTTAAGGCCACTTACAGAATGTCTGAAGTCTGATGCTGACCTAGGAGTTGCATTTCGACTGCAATAGTGCCTGCGAAATGGCACTGAGCATTTTTTTTGCCTATGGAGTGGTGTCCCATGGAGCTTCTGGTAGGAACATGGGATTCATGGACTGAAGGAAGAGAGAAGCCCAGTTACGAGGGGAAAGCCTGTGTGGTTTGGAAGGTGGGAGGGGACCTGTTGTGCGAGGGGCAGGGAGCATTGCTCCAGCATGTGGTAGGCTAAAGCCCTGAGTACACCAAGGAGGAAAACAAAACCCTAGTATGAGGTGGGACCCTGGCATGCTCCTTTCCAAGCTCCCCTCAGCAGGTGTTGATGCAAACATGCCACTAGACACAGGCATCCCCTCCCTACCCTACAGAGTTGCACTACAAGGTCATGGGGGATATATGCTCCCCATAGTCCTTCTGACTCCGGCTCAGGATGGTGGTCAAATAGAGGCCTAACCTTGAGCAGGGTAGTTACCCCAGTAAACAGCGACCTCAGGCCTTGGCTTGATTCATTTATACTTGTAAGATGGGGCTGCCTATGTTGTATGGATCACATGAGCCTCTTGAAGTGTGTGAGTGTCTTGGGGTCAAGTTGCACTTACCTCTTTTGGAGGGATGCATACGTCACTGGCGATCAAGCACAAGTCAACGACCGTGACAACAGTGGCCTGCTCACCTGATCAAATGTCTGTAATGGCCAAGGGGTGGAATCTCTAGATCCCAGAACCAGTGAAGGCTGCCAAGCTTGAGGGATACCCTGCCCTCATGTCTGTGTCCCGCACCGAACAGGACAGATGCCAGCTCCAGCCACCCCCAGGGAACTCGTCCCCAGCCTTGAGAGATCCTAAGCCCTGTTGCCAAGTCTGCCTCACTGGGTCACGATCTCTACTTGGCATGAATACAGAGCACTGATGTTGAGCAGGTGTAGGACCCAGAGCTGGCAGGTTTCGATGCTCAGCCTACACAGATGGTCCTAATAGCATGGGGAATAAGGCAAATGTAGGAATGCCTACTGCTAGGTGCACAAGTGCTGGGTTTTGTAGGGGGTATTCTCTAAGTCCAGCATGCTCATGACCTTCTTGGGAAGCTGTAAAGGAAGACAAACTATACGAGCCTTTCCACAATTTGCTGTGTCTATGCTGTTGTCTAAAAGCAAGCCCGTGACCTGATGGTGCTAGGGATTCCCAGTGCTCATGACATTACCTGTGATCTCATGCTGCCTCAGCTCATTGTATCTGTAGGACTGCTCCAGGGGCTTGATGGAGGAGTGGTAGATCTTCCTCAGCCGCTGCAATACTCCTATAGGAACAAAAATATGCAGATGAGTGAGAGGGAAATCTCAGGAAACCTGAAGGAAGCCCTCCAGGAAGGCCTCTGGACATTTTCTGCAGATCTTCAGAGTGACTCATCTAGAGTGAAGGACTTCCAGCTCTGGGCTGAAATCTTGGCCCAATCGATCACAGTCACAAATCTTGATGCCCCTCCCATGACTAATATTTCCTGCTAAGTACTGTCCCCAGCTGCTGCCAGTCATGCACATGCCAGCAACTGAGTCAAGAAACATCCCTTAATGCTGCTTAGCATCCAGCACCCATGATGCCAAAGAAGCCTCTGCCTTGGGACTCCCTGCCACAGTCAGCACAAACCCCCAAGTCCCGTACCTGATAGCTAAAAGAGGAGAAAATAATTTTGTCCACAGGAGCAGGAGGGCTCCTTTCTAGTTCTGATTGCCAATGGAACCAGCAGACTTACATTAAAACAAATAAACAACAACAGCACACCTCTATTACAAATTGCCCCAGGTCTCTCTGAATGACGGGCAGCAGTGGAGTTGACCCTGAGCCACCTTTTGTTTTCCTGCCCCTCTGGCCATAATTCTTTAACATTCTTAGGGTACTCATTAAATTATTTAAAGCACATTGATGCAGGAGAAGAATACAGACTGAAATAGGCAAAGGCTGTTCCTGAGGACCTAAGACTAAACCACTAAAGTCTCCATGCTGCCCAAGCCCTTTGCCTGCCTCAGCCCCTGCCTCCCTTACCTGAGAAATCATCAGCAGGTTTGTCTTCATTCAGCTTAAGGGTGCTCTCCAAGTGGGACCGGTCCCTCTTGGTCGTCTCAGTGGCTTCTTCAATCTCTTCTGCAGGAAAAGGCAAGAGGACACGTTACTGATGGAAAGGGGAAGGGTCCACAGGGAGCTCACACAAGCTATGGCCGGGGAGAGGGCATGCCCACTGCCGAATGCATTGGCTGCTGATCGCTTCTGCACGCCGCTCAGTTTCTGTTTTGCAAATGCTGCTCAAGGCTTCACTGAGGCTGCCAAGGGCTGTGGCAGTCGGGGAAAGCTTTGTGGACATCTGTCTGACTCTGAGGAGGGGCCGGCAAAGGAACCATGCGGTGTCTCCCGAGGTGGAAACGAGGGAGTGCTGCTAGGGAGGAATGTGAAGGACGTGCCTGGAAGGGGTTCTTGGATTGGGGCCGTTGCATAATGGGCAGCTGGAGCACACGCTGCACCTGCTGCTACTGGTGCCTCTGTCCTTCCCAGTGCTCCAAAGACACTGGAGCCTCTGCTTGGTGCTTGCCTCCGCCCCAGCTACAGCTCGTCCACAGGAGCATGGCCAAGCCTTGACTTTGGGCTTTCTCTGTTCTGCCTTTCCTGTCCATCCCTTCAAAGTTACACATCAAGATGGAGATGTAAGAGTTGGGCTGGTTTTCAGGAGATGAGCACACCTGCCGACCAAACCCTACCTTTGCCAGCCTGGCCCATGGCTGGCTGCCTCATTAGGTCTCACCTTTGTGAATGAGGACAATTCCTTTTCCCTTCTCCCACCTGAGGCTGCAGGTTAGGACCTGTCTTGCACGCTAAGACCCTGACTCTGCATGGTACAGCAGGAAAGTGGTCCTGGGCACCACGCTGCTCTGTAGCAAAGCCCAGGGCACAGTACAGCTGCCTCCACCTTGGACAGACACCCCTACGTGCCAGAGATGCAGGAAGAGAGGGGTCCTCGCTGCAGGAGCACTGATGGAGATGTTGGCACACTAAGAGCTCAGCACAGCTCCAGGTGCTTTTTGATACTGGGAGGTGAATTGGGCCTTAGCTGGGGTTTTCAAGCAGGTCTGTGAGCAGATGTCCCCAGCTTGCTGGGTTTTGCTGGGCTATGGGCCCCCTGGCCAAATGGGGCACCTTGGAGCACTGGAATGGGCCCAAGAGCCTCCTCTGAATTTTTCCCAAGTGTCAGGCTGAGAAGGACCTTTTTGACTTGCCAAGTGAAGCCACAGAGACCGAGCTGGGTTTCCCTTTTGGCACACACATGAACTCATTGAGTTGGGACATTACAGAAGGAAGCAAAAAAAGAATCAGCAGGGCTCAAAGGCTGCTGCCACAGGTGTTTCTAGTAAAACCTGGGGGCTCATTCATCCTTAGCTAGCCTGCCTTTCCACGACTTAAGGCACCCTGTCCGCAGCCAGAACCGTGGTCTGAGTTAGCTCTTCACATGTTCCTCGTGAAGGCAAAGGCTGAGGACCTGGGTGCAACAGCATCCTGCCCGTGTGCCAAGAGCACTGCGGCTTCAGTCCAGAGGAGCCTGAGTGAATAGGCTACAGGTCCTTTAACAGCTCTGTAGATGCTGTGAGGGGCATAGGGAAAGGGGTGAATTTTTCATCTGTGTCCACAAGAGATGGGCAGATAAATGATGGGCTTAAAGTACAGCAAAGGAGGCATTGGCCAGCCTTGGAATTGCTGCGAGTAGTGCTGCGCTGTCGAGCCCAGCCGTGCAGCAGTTAGGGGCAGGCACGGGAAGCACAAGCATTAGCAGAGGGCCATGCACTAGGCGCAGTTTAATGGGCCAAGCTCAGCTCCGCCGGGTTGATAGTAGGTCACTCTGGCCGCCCTCTGCTCGCTATGTTACAGGCACACCGACAGCGAAAGCGTCCAACCTATCTGGCCACGCCGGGGCTCGGCGGTGGCAGGAGGGGCGCTGCGGCCAGGTGGGCTCTCTGCTCCCCTCAGCGGTGGCTCGTCCGCAGGCGGGTTTTCTAATGCAGGCGGATTGCCTCCTGCAGGTGGGTTTTCTGCTGCAGGGGGGTTTCCTCCTGCAGGTGGATTTTCCACTGCAGGGGGGTTTCTTCCTGGAGGTGGGTTTTCCATTGCTTTTGTGCTGTTGGTGCTGGCAGCATCCGGCTCCACGTCTCCACAGGGAAGGTGGTGGCAGCTGGGAGAGCCGGCTGTGGCTTCTGCCTCACCAGTGGCTGTGTCTTCACCGTGGCCGTTCTCCTCCGCAGTGCTAGCCACTTCCTTATCACTTCCTTCAGCTCCTTCCTTGGGTCCTGCTCCACCAGCACCTTCCTCCTCGGACTCTCCTTCTTCCTCAGACTCTTCATCTCCATCTTCCTCTGACTCTCCTTCCTGATCTCCTCCCTCCTCAGACTCCTCTTGTTCATCTCCCTCTTCCTCAGACGCTTCCTGCTCCTCCTCATCTTCCTCAGAGCTCTCTCTGTCCCCTTTTACTTCCTGCTCAGAAGCAGACGCTGCTCCAGGCTCCTCCGTTTCCTCCTCCTCAGAGGCTCCTTCCTCGGGGCTGGCATTGGCATGGGGCTCTGGGGCCCCAGCCACAGACCTGCGCGCTGAAGCCGTCCTGGTGTTTGCCATGGCGCTGGGTGCTGGCGGCTTCCCTCGGCAGTCCCACTCCCTCTGGGGTAGGGGGGCCCGGGGTCGATGGCCGCCCCTCCACAGGGGCCACGGCCGCGTCCTGTACCTCCTCCACGGCTGTTTCCTCCAGCCCGCTGTCTCCAGGCTCCGCAGCCTCGCTCAGGCCCCCGACTGGCTCTTCCTTCTGCTCGCCATCTTCCTCACCGCTGGTGAGGCCAGAGGCGTTGCTGACGCCAGGATCCTCCTTGGGGCTGGCGTGCTCAGAACTGGAGTGCGGGGTGTTCATACGAGCGGCCTTCCCGGCATCGCGTGGCCGCCCCAGGGCTGCTGCCTCGCTGCCGGCCTCATACGGGGGCAGCACGGTCTTCTCCGGGGTGCCGGGGTCGGCACGCGGGATCCCGTCCTTCTCCTCCAGGCTCGGCTCTCCGGCCGCCAAGTGGCTTTTGCCAACGTGACCGACATCATCCGCACCGCGGGGGGCCGAAATGTGGGGCTCTAAACGATGAGAACAGGATCAGTCAGTTTTACCTCGCGTCGCTCCTGCCCCGGGGGCCGGCAAGCGCCAGCCCGGGCCATGGCAGGGCCATAGCGCCCACACTTCACCGGGGCCAGCCCTCTACGGTGCCCATGGAGAGCCAGGGAGGGGATGGCCAAGAAGGATTTCAAGGCCCCTGTGGAGAGGTTTAAACACTGCCCTTTCCGGGCTCCTAATGAGAAGCGGGCTGCAAGCAGCTGCTCAAGGGAGGGAAGAGCTCACGCCACGCGAGCTGCGTCCGGGACGTGGGCCCCAGAACGCTGCTCCCTGCTCGCTGCCTGGGGTCATGCAGTTTGCTAGCGCATCAGCTGGCCCACGCTTGCCAAGGAAGCATTGAGAGCACGTTGCAGCGCCATAATGTTTAAGGAAGCCGGCAAAGCGGCCCTGGAAAAATATCCCAGTCGGAGAGAGAAAGGGGGCAAAACTAAAAATAGCTCAGGGTGCAAGAGGCTTCAGGCACTTGGCAGGTTAAAAGGGTCCTTCCTTCCCCAGCCCTTTCTCAGGAGAGTCTGAACCTTTGTCACTGCAGGCCAGCCGGGCTGGGCAGCAAAGGAGGGAAGGGGAGAGTGGGCTGCTGCGTCCAGCAGCCCCGGCCACGGGCTTGGATGGGCAGTTTGCTCCAAGGTGCCAGGTTCTCCCGTTCCCAGCCCCAGGATCCTGCAGGAAGGGCCTGGCCGGGCTGCAGCGCACCTGGCCTGACCCTGGAGGCAGCGCAAGAAGAGCTATTTATTGTGCATGTCCCTTCATTAGGAAAACATTTGCCACTCTGTGTAACTGGCTGGAACACAATGAATTTGTTCTACAGTCCAGGAGAAGTCATCTGCATTTTCCATAGGGCCTCTGACTGTGATTTAACATTAGTCAACAGATGCCAAAAATAAAATAGCACCAGCTATACTGTCTCCGTTACAAACAGTTGCTGCTAGTCTAAATAATCCCCTGAAAAGTCTAATGCCTACATACCAGGGAAGCGTTTCAGAGGAAAATAATTCCTTTGTACTCCAGCTGGCAAGCAGATGCCAACCAGAAAAAAATGCCATCTCCCCCTGCCCCAGGAAGGAGCTCCGGCAGCACCACAGAGCTCGTGGGCACGGAAATGGGGTGCAGCCGCTCCGCACGGCCGCACACGGCCGCGCTGCACCCAGGCCCGGCTGCCGGCCTCCCTCCAGCTCCACGTCCACATCCTCCCCGACCTGCCCGGCAGCCACGCCAGGCAGAACTCAGAGCTCGCCAGGGCATGGAAAGAGGGGAGGATGAGGGGCTTTCCTGTGGTCCTGCTGGTCTCGGGGACACTGGCCTTGCCCCTGTCAAGTCAGGGCCCTCCACACGGGTAGGAGTTTCTTCATAACTCAGCAAAGAGGCTCTCTGCTTTGCAGTCAGGGCTTGGCAGCCTCTGGGCCTCCACAGGGCATTTAACGCCTGCACCTGGCACGCAGGCACTACACGAGCAGAGCAAAGCTCTGGAGAAGACAGCGACCCAGGTTTTGAGCATTTCCACATGTGCTCCCCAGGCCCCAAGTTGTGCCCTAGGGTGCGGGCACCTCTGCAAGACCCAGGCGCAGGGCCCAGAGCAGAGGGAGCCCAGCAGAGCATGGCAGCATTCCCAGCCACGCAGCGCCAGGGCTGATGTGCTGCCCCCACAGTCACACGCAGGGCAGGTGAGCTGTGCTGGGCCAGCGGGGCAGCTCCGAGGCACCGCGCGGTCCTGCTGGGCCAGGGTTTCTAGTCTTTCCCATGTGCAGCCTGGCATCATGAGAGCTACAACACGGCACCCCACCAAACCAGATGTGCCGCTCACCCTCACGCTGCCCTGGCCAGCGCACAGGGAGCTGCCCAGAGCAGGGCAGCCCTCCTCGACGCAGCCTCCTGAGCCCGGCCGCCCCTGCAGCCCGCCCGGAGCTACTCGAAGGCGCTCCTGGCCAGCAGAGCCGGGCAGCTGGCTCCAGCCTGCACATGGCATGCCTCTGTGCCCCCAGGGACAAGGGACAGGCACAGGGATAGTCTCAGCATGGCCCCAAAATAGCCTGTGAGCTGGAGGGCACAGAGGGAAGTGGAGAAGAGGAGACACCGCTCATCCCGGCATGGGGCCAGTGCTGGGGGGGTTTTCCAAGGACCCTGGGGCTTATGGGTCACCTCTAAGCAAACAGAGGTTGGACAGAAGTGACCCCTCAGTAGTGACCCACAGCATCTGGGCACGATGCCAACCCCAGCACCTTGCATGAGCCAGGACCTGCTGGAGAAGGGAAATACTCCTGCTCAAATTGGGATATTCCTGCCAGTCTTTGGGTCACAGGCTTCATTTCCTGTGACCTTCAGAGCGTTATATAAAGTCGCCCTCCCCTTCCCACCTCCTTCGCCTTCCTTTCTCCCCTACATGGTCTCCAAAGACACCACAAGACGAATTGTGCTGATCTGCAGATGGCCGGCTGCTGAGCGCCGCACTGCAAAACAGGCCGAAGGTTACGGGCTTAACACCCTCCGCACGGCCTCCGGCAGCTAAAAATACAGCCAGCAACTGTACAGAGGGAACAGAAGGAGCTGCTCGGCCCACCATGGGAAGCAGAGCACTGGTTCCCTTGTGCGC